ATGAAATAAGAGCAAAAACTATTAGTATTCGTACAACAGATCATGAAAAAACTAATTTTATAGTAGTTTTAACTTGTATGGCAGATGGAACTAAACTTCTTCCTCTTGTAATTTTTAAATTTAAAAAAATTCTAAAAGGAAATTTTTCTTAAGAAGTTATTGTTTGTACTAATCCAACTACATAGATGAATGAAAATGAAATGTTATATTGGATTGAAAATGTTTAGATTAAACGTGATGAAAGACTTTCTAATTCACAATCATTATTAGTTTTAGATTCATTTTTAGCACATATTATTAATTATATTAAAAGGCGTTTTGGAGAAAAAAATACTAATATTGCTATTATTCTTGGAGGATTAACATCTCAATTACAACCTTTAGATATTTTAATCAATAAATCATTTAAATTAAAGGTAAGATTTATTAATTTTATTAAATATTCTATTTTTATTTTATTTATTTTATTTTTGTATTTAATTTTAATTATATTTATAAATTTATTTCTTATAAATGAAAAATAAATATAATGAATGGATGTCTGAATCTTTAAAAGAATTAACCCTGCTAGTAAAATCAAAAGACCATCTTATGAAACTGTTGTAGATTGGATTAATAGATCATAAAATGCAGTTGATATTAATTTAATCTAAAGATCTTTTAAATACTGTGGCATTTCTAATAAACATGATGGAACAAAAGATGATTGGATTTTTAATTATGAATATCTTGAACAAGCAAAATTAAGTGATGAAGTAGAAATTTTAGATGATATTAATGAAAATGATAGAAGTAATAGTATTAATAATAATCATTATGAGAAGGAAGATTATGATAATGAATGAATTTAAATAATAATCATGTATACTTAATAAATAATGACATTTAATATTAATAAAATATAAAATATAAAAATAAATTTTAATTTTTATGTTTAATATATTACAATCAATCAAATTGATCGATATCATTACGATAAATTTGATCAGCATTGTTGCAGTAAATTTGATCGACATATTTATTAATTTAATTGGTTAATTTATTAGTATCTTAATATTAATCAAAAATTTTATTTTTGGTGATTGAATAGTATCTGTTACTATTCAAGAGGGATATTTTGCAAAGGGATACTAATGTCAGTACTATATAGTATGCAAAAACTAATGACACTAACTACATAAAATTTATATATATTTGAAGCTAAAAACAAGCTAATTTTATTAATATTTTTTAGAATGAAATTTATTCACCATTATTTTTATAATAAGTTCACATTAGCATTTTATTAATTTTACTAATCTGATTAGGGATAATTTTAAAATATTATCCTATTATTTGACCATATAATAGCGTAAAAAATCAAGTTAATAACTCAGAAAAATTTTCTTAAAGAAATTTTTTGATATAAATACTAGTATTATTTTGCTAAAAATGCTATTTATTTCTCAATAAGTTTTTAATCTCTAAAAGGTAATTACAAAGTATGTTTACATAAAATTCAGTATTTATTATTTAAGAAAAATAATATAAATTCATTTTTTCTTTTATACAGAATTCTCTTTATATAAAGATTTTTATTCAATTTTTAAGTTTAAGGTATATCAGTTTTTATCCTTTATACTAGTGTTTTACGGTATTCTAAAACAGTTAGAAGATAATCTCATCTAAAAATAGAGTTTATTCTAATTATTATTAAGATGATTTTGGGCTCACCCTGCTCATTTATACTTATAGTCTATGATCAACATCATCGTTACTCTTGAAAGATCTTTTTGATATCTAATTTTGGCTAAATACCTTTCTACTGTCTTATAGGATACACTCACACATTTTAATGACAACTTTGTTAATAGAGTCCTTGTTAAAATAGAAAAATCTCAGCAGATAAATTAGACTAATGCTCTTGATGCATTAGCTGTAATCTTTTTTATGCAATCACTTTTTTTTATACATTAAATTATTTCAGATTCATAAAACTTGATAAAGTTATCGTATACAATTATAAGAGAAATTTAGTGTGTTAATCAATTTTTCTAACCTTCTGAATACCTTAATTTTATAATTATAAAATTACTTGACAGTTAGTTTTTTGTCTAGAGATCATCATTTCTAATTAATTAATTTTGAAAGTTTTTTAAAAAATTGAAGATATTAAGGAGAGGAAATAAAAAAATTTTAATATTTAATAATACAAAAAAAAATTATATACTTACTTATCTTATGATTATTTTTCTTTTTATATAATTCAGATTAGACTTTATTTAATTAAGGTCTGCATCTTTTTATTTCTCAAAAAAAATTCCAGGTTTTTTTTTAATCCTATACTGTAGATATCTGAAATTACTTATATCTGCAGTAACTAATTCATTAAACCTTATTAGATACTATTAACTACTAGTATAACTTTATTAAATTATATTATTGTCTGAACTTTATTATTATGTCACATAAAAGTAAAATACTATTGTAAAAGAAATACCTAAAGTTATGAAATTAGCTGTGAATAAATATGCTATTCAAAACCTTTAACCTGAAATAAAATATATAACTATAACATATGTAAAAGTGCAAAAGTTAATTTACATATGATACTACTGTTTAGTTTATTTAGCATGAAATATAACATATCATTCTCAAGAATATTAAATAATAAAATACAAATTAATAAACTTACTTAGAATTAAGATGAATCATATTATTCCTTTCAGTTTATTAAACCTATCTCTATTCTGTTAATTTTTTAAGATATATGAATAATAATTATTTAATATAAAAGTATTTTTATTAAAAAAATAAAATACAATGAATTTCTAATTATACTACTTAATTGTAGATCTTTAAATTTTAATTTTGTAACTTTTTAATCTCTAATTCTACCTTGAATTTCTTAGATATTTATATAAAAATATTATATGATAATAAGCTAACTATTTTAATCTTTTTTATCAGTTTTCAGTTATATTTCTATTTATATTTTTAATTTTTGCTATATTTTCCTATTTTCTTTTCTGTTTTCTATTTCTATTTTTAGTTATCAAGTTAGGATTATTTGTAACCGTTAAAATTGGATATATTCAAGATTATTCTAATATTTTGTTCTACAAACAGCTTCTTGAATACTTATACTCTTATAAAATATTAAATAAACCAATTGAATTACTATATGAAAATTTTTCCTCAGAATTGTCTTCTACTATGTATCAAGGAGAGTCTATATATGAAATAAAAGATTTGAAGCGAATATCATCCTATAATTCTGAAAATAAGAAAAGGAAAATTTTAATTAGCTTAATAGAATCTGATGATTTAAGTGAAGCAGAAGATTATAAACTGAACATAACTGATAAAAAGAAAGTCAATGCGTAATTTTTTTTCCAGTAAATCTTTAATAAAAATTTGATTGATTAATATTTTGCTTACTACGTTATCTTTCTAATCATTATTTTTTAAAGTTTAATGATTATGATAAGTTTGAGAAAATAACTCGTCATAAACAAATACTAATAGTAAATATATATCAATATTAGATTATAAGAGTTTCCATCAAAAAAAATATAACAATATGAAAATTTCAAAAAAATGAATGTTGAGAATTGAAGCTTTTGTAGAAGATAAACTATATAACTTTGAAATGAAATACACCTAAAAGCAGTAAGTTTTATGTTTATGTATATTTTGTTTACATTAATATTATTATATTAATATGATAACATCTCATTTTTTTATCAATAGTCTTTCTCATTCCTTCATATTAAATTCAAATGATAAAAATTATTTAAGTAAAGGTATATTTACAGAATATAAACTGGTTGAGATTTGAGTTTTTCAAATAAAATAACCTCTAATAATTCTCATAGAACTTTTGATATATCTTAACAGTTTCTTTTCTATAAGTTATTATATACTATATATACCTTTATAAATTATTATATATATATTGATTTAAGATCTATTTTTTTAAAAAAAGAATAACTGTTGATCTCAGGTGATTGATTTTTTGGCAAGAAACTATGGATTAAAATTTTGATCAGCAGAAAGATTTTAATTGTAATTGGATACGAAATACAATTTATAATTTATATGCATTATTAAAATTATATCTGTACTTCTTTATGTCTCTTTGAACTGAACTCTAACTATTTATAAATTGTGAAAATATGAAGCAAATAGTCTCAGAAAGGATCACTTAAAAATGTAGCTGTTATTGCATATCTGAAATTTTATTCATAAGGCATTTGAAAATTTAAAGGGTGTAGAGGTTGTAAAGTTAGTGGATTCCTTTTTTTAAAATTATGAGTCAATTCTTTTTTTCAATTAAAATTATTCTTACTATAGAAGTGAATCTTGCAGTTTTGCATTATCTAAAAAGAAGAATAAAAAGCAAACTATTTTTGCATTAATAAAAGTTAAAAGAAAAATACTAAGATAAAAAGAAGATCTGATCATTTGTAAAGTCTTTTTAGAACACAGGTGTTCTAAAACTGAAACGTTTTATAAGAAAGAATGACATTAAAATTATTAAAAGAGAGTGGCCTAAAAACTTCTAAGATAATGAAAGATATGCTTTACCATTTCTATGTAACTATTAATTGAGATGAATAAAAGCTTCAAAAAATAGAGACAATTAGATTTTTACATGCAGGTATTTTGCTATTTCATTAAAATTCCAATCAGTTTTTTTAACTCAGCTTTTAATTATTTATTAAAGGCTTATAATGATGATGTTAAGGCTTGATTCTCCTTTTGATATATATATCATATTACACATTCAAAAACTTTTAGCATCTTTTCATAAATTAACAAATTCAGCATAAGGGCTTTTTTGACTATTTTAATGATATAGATGACAAAAGTGAATTTTTTTGATTAATATTTCTAGTTATTATAACTTTTTATTTAGTATCTAAAATTTTTTTTTGTACTTTAATTCTCACAGGTAATTGTTATCAATATTATTCATTTAGTTAAGTAGGAAGATAGACTGATTTTAATAAAGAAGATTAATTACAACAATTACTAAGCTCATATGATTCATCAAATTTAACACCTTCAATATTATCATCAAAATAAGCAAAGATACATATATTACACTTTTCATCAAATTCAGATATGTCTCTAAAAAGAAGAGTTTGTTATTAGATATATTATTTTTTTTTGTTTTTTTTTTGATGTTAAGTTTGTAGATAAAAAAATTGATTTTTTTTTATTTTTATTGATAATTTAGATCAGAATCAGTTTGGACTACTAATTTATTCAAATTAATGCAAAAAAAGGTGACTAAATAAATTGGAATTAGATTGCAAAATTTGTTAATAGTGAAAATATACACTTATTTCTTGTAATTTTATTCAAAAGCTTGTTAGGTAATATTCTTTTATGCAATAGTGTATTACTTTTTATGTATATGTAAACTCATTGAAGAAAATAATATCACAATCAGGCTAATTTTTAATATATGATAAAATACATGTATTGCAAATATAAATCATAAGCTTAATCTGAATCATTTTTATAAAATCATATAAAAAAAATTCACACACTTGTAATTTTTTAGATGCATAGTATTACAAATTGTAATTCCAAACTTAATTCACATATATGTATTATGATGAAAAAGATATCAAGAAAATTACATAAAACTGATCATATATTTTTTTTCATAACCTAAAATTATCTAATCACGAACTATATAACTTTACTGAAATTTTTAATTTTCTAAGATATCTATCATAATATTTTAATTGTTAAGGTATTGTATACATATCTTTACATTATTAATATGTTGTATTAATATTGATTTTAAGATTAATGTTACTATAATTTTAAGATATAATAATAGTTATAATAAGATAAATCAAATAGAATAGGCAATGCAACGTAATAGTATTATACAATCAACTCTTGTTATAACAAATTCTATATCCTAGACCTCAACTTTGCTATAAGACTATAGTGAAGATTTTAAGAGATTTGAATGACCAATTTGCTATAATAAGAGTATTTTTATTATATTTATTCAAAAAATTTATTATATCAAAAGTTCGCTATATTAAGAGTTGATTGTAATTATATCTTTATAATAATTGTAATAATTTTATTTTTTTTTTTAAAAAATAAAATATCAATATCATTATTAATTTTAAAAAAAGATTTTGTTATATGTATTAAAATTATATGAAATTTATAATTACTATATTTTAATTAATAAAGTTATTTTAGTTAATATAATTTCAAATTATAAATCAGAAATGAGTCTTATGAAAGAAAAGATAATTAATAAATATTTTTTAATTAAATAAATTAGAAAATATTTACCTTATCTTTTTGTAGATGCTGAAAGTATTAGATTGATTAAATTAAAGATAAGTCTTATAAGAAAAAAATAAATATTAATTTATTTTTAATTAATTAAAAATTAAATTACTTACTATATCTTTTTCTCTTTTTGTAAGTATTAAAAGCCTTGAATTGATCAGATTAAAGATAAGTTCTAAAGAAAAAAAATAAATAATTTTTTATTAGCTATATTTAACCTAATAATAAAGAAACTTGCATATTTTTGTAAGTTATTCAATTTTTTAATTCTCTTAATATTACAATTATTTATAGTTAATACAAAATGATTAATAAATAAATTTAACTATAATTAGTATTTGTGTAAGTTGCTTAAAATGCTTTTTGTCTATTGTTGCAATATATTGAGATAGTGAAATTTTTGTAAAAGTTTCATTAATAAAAACCTCTATTTTAGCATTCAAAAGTATAATACTAGTATTACCTTTACTAAATAATATAAAAAATGAATAATTTATTTAATAAATTTATTAATTAAATTTATAATAGAATATAATATAAAAGACATACCTTTCTTGCTTTTCTTTGTATTAAGAGATTAATATCATTATATCATTATTATATGTATTTTAAAAATCATTAAATTTCTTTTTTATATATTGTATAACATTAATAAAATTATTAGTACCTTTATCATACTAAAAAATTTCTTAATAAATTTATGAAATATTAATAGATTTAGTATATACATGCATAAAAAAAATAGGTAATTACATTTTTTAAGTCAAATATGTACTTGTTTCTATAAAATTGTTTAAAAATAAAATTTTTAATAATTAATATTTAATAATAATAATATTATTATTATTAGAAGTCAAAGGTAATATAAGTGATGTAACAGCAAACAGTTGCATTATTTTTTTCTGTAAATAATATAATTCAGTTGCTATTTGCATTAAATGAAAATTATTTATCATGAATGTAACTAATTTATAGTAATTACTAAAGTTTGATATTGTATCTATTATATTTGTTATATTTGTTATATTTGTATTTATTAAAAATTATTTATTTTAAGATAATACTTTTAAAAGCATAGCTTTCTTATTCTTCTTATTATTATATTTAAACTTGTATTTTTTTTAGTAATATTACTATTTTCTTCATTTTCATCATTTTTTATAAAATTTAAATTTATTTGTATTACAATTAAATTAAGATTACTATTATCATTTTCTTTATTATCATTATTATATTTATAATTAAAATCATTATCATCTTTATTAATTAGTAAATTTAATAATATAAAGTATTATGTAAACTTTATATCTTGTAATCTTATATAAAATTATGAATCTATCAAAAAATTTATGTATTGTAACACTTTGATATTTTTATGATGTATAATATTTTGAAAGTTTATGATATGCAAACTTTTAAAAGTTTATAATATGTAATATAATAATATCATAGTAAAAGTATATAATATATACATATTTTATATAATTAATTTATCATAATATTATCTAAATTATATTTTATAATTATTAACGCTTAATTTATAAAATTATACAATTTAAAATTTATTTATTTATTAAATAAAATATATATTAACAATAAAAATACAAATATTTTATAATAATAAAAACTTTTTAATATAATATAATATATAAAAGAATATTATAATTAGTAATATTTAAAAATAATTAATAATATATATTAAAATAAATGAAGTTAATAGTATTAAATCAGTATTGGCATTTGGCTATTTGATCAGTATTTAGCTATAACTATTTGGCCATTTGGTTACAGCTAAAATGACCAAATTTTATTTTAAGTTTGATTAGCCAAAAATATTATTTTTATATATAATAGCTTACAAAAAAAATACATATAATTGGTTAATTTTAAAAAGCTATAATTCTTTAACCACAAATGCTAAAATTATGATTTTATATTTATTTGAAGCTTAAACTTTAAAGAATATTCTGATAAAATTTAATATTTAATTAATAATACTGATAATATATATATACATTAAAATTTCTTACATAATAAAATTTGAGCATAGAAATATTTTTAACTAGATATGCTACTATAATACTGATATTAGATTCTAATTCTACTCAATATAGTAATTCAAATAGGCTAAAATTTATTAAATCAGGTTAGCTAATTAAGAATCATTATGTAGCAAAGATTAGTTAATTACTATATAAATTGTTTAGACTAAGTTTATATAATAATTAATTAATCTTTGTTATATAATAATTTTTAATTAAAATTATCACATTAAAAAAATAAAATCTAATATCAGTTTTATAGTAGTTAGTTTGCTTAAAAATTTTTTATACTCAATTTTATTATATAATAAATTTTGATATAGATCATTAGCTATATAAATTTATATTATTAACTAAATATTAAATTTTATCAAAAAATTCTTTAAGATTAAGGTTTAGAATAAGTATAAATTTATGATTTGTAATTGATGAGTTCTAATCTTTCAAAATTAACTAATTACAATTGTGTTTTTTTGTAAATCATTATAAATTATTTATTAATTTTAATTTTTTATTTTATAAATAACCTTATTAATTACAAATATTAAAAACAAAAATATTTTATATTATTTTAATCTTTAAAATTTAAAAAATATTAAAAATTTAAATATCTATTTAATAATTGTAAATAAATTAATAATTTATATTATTTATTTTTTTTAATTAAACAATTATAATAAAATTAATATTTAAATTAAAATTTATTTTGAATTAGAAATTATAAGAAAATAATTATTAATTTAAATAAATTTTATTATTATATAAAACAATTTAAATTTATTATTAATTTATTTAAATTTATTTAAATTAATATAATTATTTTTTTTAAATTATTTTTAAATTTTAATAAAATAATAAATTTTTATTTAATATAATTTAGATAAAAAAATAATAATAAAATTACAAAACTTTAATCATAATAAATTTAAAAAAAACTTCTATAAATATATTGATTTAATATAAATTTATTCTTCATTAATAAAAAATAGAATATCTAAATTATCAATAAAAATACTTTCAATATTTTATTTTGTTTTTTGATCTAATGCAAGATATAAATAATCAACTAATATTTATTAATTTCAATATTATAATCAAAATCCATTTCAGTTTATTGTTTAGCTGCTTCTTTTTATATTAGTAATTCTTCCCAATTTTTAATTAATTTATTTCAATTTAAAATTTGATTATCATCATTTATTTCTTTATTATCTAAATCTTCTTGAATAATATTTTCTTATATATTTTCTATTTAACTATCTTTATGAATATTAATAATATTTACTTCTTAAGTTTCTAAATCTAATTCAATTATTGGTTTAGCAATACTTTTTGTTAATTTTTGTTGTTGAATAGCTTTTATTTCATCTATTTTATATTAAGCAATAATAAAAGCATATAATTTACTCAAATTAAGAGCTTTCTTATATTATTTTTAAAAATATAATTAGAAATATTAATTAAAATAATAATTAATAAATTTAAATAATATTATATACTTACAAATAATTGATTATGTTATTTATTATAAAGAATCCCATATATGATTAAAATTTTTTAACTAAAGCAGCATTAATACAAATTCTAAAAATTTGTTAAGTAACATATCTAAGTTCTTTAACTATTAGTGATACTCATGACCAAAAATCTAAATATTTTTCTCAAATTGATTAATTGATTTTTTATCAAAAAGGTATTAATTTTTTTTTAAAATTTTCATATTCACATAATATTGATTTTGATTTCATTTGTGATCAAGTTTTATAATAATAAATTAATCATTTATTAAGATATACATGATTTAAATTTAAAATATCAATTTTAAATTTTGACATTTTATATTTAGGATATAAAAGCTATAATAAAAGTAATAATAGTTATTTCCAATTTTGCTATCTTTTTTAAAGTTGATTAAGCATCTTTATTCCAAATTCTATATCATCATAATTTTTTCAAAATTTTACAAAAAATCTAAATCTATATAAAACATCATGTAATCTTATTTTATCTCTTTATAAAATATTTAAAATTTTGCAATATGATTTAAATAATTTTACAAGTTCTAAAAGTAATTACTACTAACTTTTATCAAGTAAAATAGAAGTAATATTAACAGAAAGATATATTGGATTATTAGGATGATGACGAGATATTGATTATTCAGAAGGTTCAAATTTTGATTCTAAAGTCTTAATTTATAAATAAATAAATAAAATTAATAAAAAGATAATTATTTTTAAATATTATATATTAAAAATAAATATATATATAATATCTATAAAGCTGCTTTTAATTTAATTAAAGTACAAAAACATTCATAATAACTATTTTATCTTGTATTATTTTCAATAGCAATTTGAATATATTTTCTATATGCTTCTTTTTGTAAAAATCAAAGTTAACCAATAAAATACTTATTATTTGATAATTTAAAAAAAGTGCAATTTTTATTGCTTTTATTGATACTTGCTTAAATTTTTCAGATTCTTTAAAAATTTTACCAATAAAAAGATTTATTTGGTGAGCAAAATATGAAAGAAAAGTAATATATACATATTTAAGTCAAAGTTTACATCTATTAAATAAATAAAATTAATATAATAATATAAAATAATACTTATAAAAATAAAATATAAATACCTTGAAGTAGCATAATTTGATGCACTATCTGTTACAAGTGCAATAAGATCTACTTGCATATCATTGATTTCTTTAAATATATTTTCTGTTTTTTCAAAAATTTCTTTCCATTTTTCTAACTCCTTACTAATATCTATTGCTTTTTAAATTTAAACTTCTCCTTCTAATATAATAAAAACTAAATCAAAAATATTTTGATTTAAAACATTTGTCTAACAATCAAATATTAAAGTAATTAGTTTTTAGTTTTTGTTTTAATTCATTTTAAAGTGATTTTAATTCTTTATTTAAAATTTGTCTTTCTAAAGCTTTATGTGATGGAATATTTAAAGCTGAATTTAAAAAATAAAAAAGTTTTTGAACTTCTTTATTTTTAATTTATTGTAAAGAAAATCTTGCAGAATTCGTTACTCAAATTATTAATTTTTTAAATATATATTGATCATTTTTTGAAAGTAATTAAGATATAAGTAATTTAGAAATAAAAGAATCAAGTGGATCAATTGATATATTAGATCTATTACCTATAAAGAAAGGATCAGAAATAATGTCATTTAATAGAGGGAGGAGGGGGTCCCAGTTGATGATAGTTATATGAATTTTTTTTTAGACAAATGTGCAAGGGGTGCAGTTGATGACAGTTACATAAATCTTAAATCTATTATCTAATCATGCTATAACTATGTGACTGTATGTACTATACATACTGTGTGAAGTGATAAATTATTATATTAGTGGTAGTATTATAATAGCGGTAATATAATTTATTTTAAAAAAAGTGTTCTGAAAAAGTGTTCTAAAAAAATTCACTTTTTACTTTTGCACTTAAAAATGTAAAGAATTATTTAGTATTACAAATTGTTAATAATGAAATAAACTTATTTTTACGAATAAAAATATTCTAAAAATTACCTTATTTTAAATCCTCAAAATACTTATAAACAATATATAAATGTCTATACATTTTCTAAAATGGTAGAAAGCTATAATATTGCATCAAATAAAAAGGAACTTAAACTTCAAATACAAAGTAGTTAGTAAGAAGTTAAAAAAGAAAATAAGAATTATATTTCCAATCTTATTTTCAACTTACTAAAAATACCTATTTAATCTTTTCTTTTCACTTTTGTTTCACCTTCTTCATAATAAAAATTTATAATTAAACCTTCACTAGCATTTCTAGATATTCTTTCTAACTTCCTAATAATATT